GTACATTATTATTATACTGCTAAAATTTTATATTATTTTTTCGAGCATCTGAATGACCTCAAATCAAAAAACTCGAAACTATAAAGTTATAGATCTCATTGTGAGCTACAATTTTAATGTAAAAATGATCTTCATTTGACACCATACAGAAAAGATATTATTTTTCTAATGCGATAAGCACTAATACACGATTATTATGCTCCTGAAATTTAATATTATTTTTTGAGCATGTTAACGTCCTCGAATGAAAAAACTCAAAACTAGAACATTGTAGATCTTACCGAGATCTACAATTTTCATATAAAACTCATCTTCATCCGACATCATATCGAAATGTTATGTTTTTCTAAAGTTCAGTCTTCACGCAACTCTCAGTGGCACGACAAAACACTACTGTGACATGGTTTTTCACGTTGAAAACGCCGTCTAACGTAGGAGATGTTACCATGCCAATGCATGTGGCGTGACTACAGTCTTCACGCAACTCCCAGTGGCACGACAAAACACTACTGTGACATGGTTTTCCACGTTGAAAACGCCGTCTAACGTAGATGTTACCATGCCAATGCATATGGCGCGACAACGTTATTCTATCGTGTCAGCGCCACTAGGTTAGATCTGCAAAAAAAAATTAGGAGCGGTTATTATTAATATATTAAATAAAAAGGATTAAAAATAAAAATAAAAAGCGAACCATCAATCTCATATGTCATAAGTCATAACTGACGTAAGACGTAGTAATAAGGCATAGATTGTGAAACCATGCATGTACTAGTTCTTGTCGCATGTACATCTTAGCAAGTCAAGACGATGATAACAAGTTTATTTGGGACATATCAGAGCTTAAATACGGCTACTAGGCACCAGCTTAGTCATCGCTTTTCTGTTTGCACTTGAAGCTAGTGTAGCCATCAACGACTATAAATATGGCCCTATAGAACCAATGCATGCACACATCTCTACTGAGCGAATTATTTACAGAACAACAGTACTAGTCCGAGTAGAGAGAGAGAGAGAGAGGACAATATAATGGCAGTCAAGGGTGTCACTCCTCTTCCTCATGGCGTCGGCCATGTTCGTCCTGGCCGCTTTTGATGGGGCGAAGGCGCAGGAAGCACACGGTGTGTTAGTGACGTACAACCTGTACAACCCACAGAGCATCAACTGGGACATGCGGACGGCAAGCACGTTCTGCGCTACGTGGGATGCCGACATGCCGCTGGCGTGGCTGCAGCGTTACGGCTGGACGGCGTTCTGTGGCCCTGGCGGTGAACATGGCGAGCCATCATGTGGCCGCTGCCTCCAGGTGCGAATGCATGCACTCTTCTCTCCCTCTCTGTTGTGGGTCTGTCTGTCTCTTCTTCTCTCGCACTCGCAACATCGAGCAGGTGACGAACAGGGCGACAGGGTCGAGCACGGTGGCGAGGGTGGTGGACCAGAGCGACAATGGCGGGCTCGACCTGGACATCTCGGTGTTCCAGCAAATTGACACCGATGGAGGTGGCATGGCCAACGGCCACCTTTCCGTTGACTACCAATTTGTTGATTGCCAAGATTAGAAAACAATTTATGCTCGATCGGATGGCAGCACAACATATCGCTTATATATCGTATATGATGGGCATGTTAATTATCGACAAGCTGCTGAATAAATCTAGAGAAACAAGCCAGTGTAACAATAAAAGTGCACGGAATTAGTGCAAGTAAACGTTATATTAATCCATGTAACCTATGAGATAAGAGGAATTGATAGCTGGGTGTATTTTCAACACATGGAGTACGAATGAATATACCGGTGCTCTTTTTTTTCCTTATTGTAACTAAGTACAAGCAGGTTGTAATGTAACCATATATACAAACCACACGTTTCTTGCAAGCATCCTAGAAGATCTATAGTAACAACCGGAACTCCTGGGCCGTCTAGCATACGAGTTCAGCTTTAAATATTACACAAATGGTATAAACCAAAGTATGCGTAGCGATGCAACCTAGAGGTGGCCTTGCATCTCCGCTGTTGTCTGCACGATCCTTTGCCGCATCGTCAAGAGCGCGTCCAATGCTTCGATGTTGGAAGCGGTCAACTCACTAGTAGAGAAACGATTTTTGATCCACTTCGAAATTTGGCTTTAGTCTCGGTTGATAGCTCCAACCGGGACTAAAGGTCCCTGCCCAACGGCTACTGCGGCAGGCTTTTGCTGCAGGGGCCTTTAGTCCCGGTTGAAGGTACCAACCGGGACTAAATGTTAACTTTTACTCCCGGTTGGTCCCTCCAACCGGGAGTAAAAGTCTACTCCCGGCTGGAGGCTCCGTCCGGGACTAGAAAGAGACCTTTAGTCCCGGTTGCTGTCTTCAACTAGGACTAAATGTCCTCTCCTATATACCCCTTCTTCCTTCCCGAGCCCGAGCCACTTCGAGCTCAGTGTTCTTCTTCATATCGCCGGCCTCTCTTCTTCCTCATCGCCGGTAATCACAAGATTTCTTCGATTCCTCCATCGATTCTTCGGTTCTAAAGGTTACCAACTTTATACTCTCATGTTTCATCAGTAGCATATCTCATTTTGTGGACTAGATATATGTGGTTTTTTATGGTGGATTTTTTTATTTGTAAGCCATTTAAGCTCAAAATCACTTTAAAATTTGCATATTTGGATGAAGAAAGGTTAAAGTAGTTATTCAAAACTAGTATTCAGCTTTCATTTCTAGCATGCATAGCACACTTCATGGTTTAGAGCTATAGAGAATTTTAGAGTTTTTTAATTTTATTTATTTATAAAATAAAAAATTTATATTATATTAAAAATAAGTATACAGAGTAGATGGCAACTGCTTCCGGGTCCTCGGCCTCTCATTGGATTCCAAAGCGACTAAGGCCGGACCTTCCTCTCATTGCATGCGGCAAGTGTGAGGAGAAGCTCGTGATGGAGTACCGGGTGAGGAAGGAGTGTCCCAACAAGGACCGTATCTTTTACAAGTGTCCGGATCGCAATGTGAGTTATTTTATCGCATTTTATGATTATGGTTAATTTATACTTATTTTCATGATGATTATGATTAAAGTTCTAATTTTTTATTTTAATTTCAGTGGGATGGCACTGGATGTTCAGGCTGGTACTGGGAGGAAGAGTATGTTGAACACGTGCAAAACTCTCTTGCACAGGCGGCTACGGCGGCTGATGAGGCAGTGATCCTGCGGAAGAAGCTCATAGATGTTGAACAAACACATGATCTGTCTGTTTTAGTTGGGATTGGTCGCGAAATCCTTATGCTGCTAAAGTGCATTTTAGCTTTAGTTTTTTAGTGGTAGTTGGGATTGTCTACATTGTAGCGAGACTTTCATAAATTAATATATTGTGTGGTGGCATGCATGTCGTATAATTAACTAATTATGTTCTAGGTTTTAATATGATATGTATGTCATGTAATGTAGATGAGCCGACATTAGATGTACAATGCTGATCGCCACTCCCAAGAATTCATTGAGGGCGTGCATTCTTTCTTACGTGTGGCCGAGGCAAACAAACGTGATGGTTTCATGTGCTACCCATGTGCCATATGTAAGAATTTGAAGGAATATGCTAGCTCAAGGAGTCTTCATTCACACTTGTTGAAGTCGGGTTTCATGCCAAACTATATTTGTTGGACGAAGCACGGAGAAACCGGGGTTGTAATTGAAGAAGGTGAAGAAGAACAATAGGACGATGATGATATTATTGTTGAATATGGTGCCTTCAATGATACTGCAATGGGGGAAGCTGAAGAAGAGGTAGGGGCAGAAGATAAGCCCGCTGATGATCTTGGTCAGGCCAATCGTGACGCATAAAGAGAATGCAAAAGTGAAAAAGGAGAAGATCAAGTTCGAGTGCATGCTATAAGATCACAAGAAATTGTTATACCCAACTTGTGATGCGGGAAAGAAAAAGTTGGGTACCACACTCGAATTGCTGCAATAGAAGGCAAAGAATGGTGTATCTGACAAGGGATTTAGAGAGTTACTGAAAATCCAAAAGAAGTTTCCGAAGGATAACGAATTGTCCGCCACTACGTACAAAGCAAAATAGGTAGTCTGCCTTTTGGGATTAGAAATCCAGAAGATACATGCATGTCCTAATGACTGCATCCACTACCATGGCGAGGAGTACAAGAAGTTAGATGCATGCTCGGTATGTCATGCATCGCGGTATAAGATCTGGCGAGATGACCCTGGTGATGTTAAGGGCGAACGTCCCACGAAGAAAATCCCTGCCAAGATTATATGGTATGCTCCTATAATACCACGCTTGAAACGTCTGCTCAGAAACAAAGACCATGCAAAGTTGTTGCGATGGCACAAAGAAGACCATAAGATAGACAATATGTCGAGACACCATGCTGATGGGTCCCAGTGGAGAGCAATCGATAGAGAATGAGTGATGAAAAAATGAAAAGATTTACGTTAAAATGGTGTGAAAACAAATTTCCAATCGAAAACAAAAGTTTTAATGATTTAAATTAAACACTACATTTTTGCATTAATAAAATAGTAATTATTAATGACTTTATGTTTCAATATTTATAAAAAAACAAAAAACTTTAGGTCACACAAATTTCCTGTGAGCAATAAAGCAAAAGTAAATCCATATTCTTTTAAAACAATTTTATGCCTTGTATTTAATTTACTGTGCAATTAACAAGACTTTAACATTTTATAGAAAGAAATATAGAAAAAAACAAATGGAGCTTGAAACGGGCTTGAAGTGAAACTGCAGCTCAACTTTAATCCCGGGTAGATCTACCACCCGGGACTAAAGGTGGGCGGTATTTTTTGCAGCCCGCCAAAATACACCTTTAGTCCTGGCTCGTAATACCAGCCGGGACTAAAGGTCTTTTCGTCCCGGACGTTTACAGGAGCCGGGACTAAAGGTCCCTCCCCTATATAAGGCGGCCATTTCTTATTCCTTCTCACTCTTCGTCTTCGTCGCCCATCGCCACTGTCGCCGCCGCCGCCCTCGTCACCATCGCCCATGGCCACCTCATCGTCCTTGACCTCGCTGCCGCCGGACCCGACGCCGATCTGCTCCTTCCCGACCTCCGACACGCTCTTCGACTGCGCCTGGTCCGAGTCCCACGACTCCCTCTACGCCGCCGCCTCCGGGGACGGCTTCATGCGCCTCTTCGACGCTGCGCGGCTCCCACCGCCACAGAACCCCGTGCGCCTCCTCCGCGAGCATGCGCGGGAGGTGCACGGCCTCGACTGGAACCCCAACGCCGGCCGCCCCAACGCCGGCTGCCCCGTGCGCCACCAACGCCGCCGGCCCCAACGTACTGTGTACTGATATATATAAATTTTATATATATATAAATTTGTTATATATATATATATTAGAGAGTTATAAATTTGTATTGTTATATATATATATATATTAGAGAGTTATAAATTTGTATTTTTATATATATAAATTTATTATACATCTATATTAGAGAGTTATAAATTTATATTGTTATATAGCTAAATTTGTTATACATATATATTAGAGTTATAAATTTATATTGTTATATATATAAATTTGTTATACATACATATTAGAGAGTTATAAATTTGTATTGTTATATATATATATATTTGTTATACATATTAGAGAGTTTTTAATTTATATTGTTATATATATAAATTTGTTATATATATCACTTGCCAATAAATATTTCTAGAAAATAAGAAATCAAAGTTGTGCTTTGGAGACTTGAATTTCGAGTGTAGTTATTTAATTAATTTTAAGCACATGACTCGATCCATTTTATAGATATATGGTATTTATTTTTTATAGATATATCTAGTGGTGTAAAAGCTAGATGGCTGCCCCGAGAGACAACATGGGTGAAGAAATGATGGATATTATCAACACCGGCACTCAATTTGCCGATGGTGACCAGCATGATGTAGATGACGGGAGTCAATACCTGGCTCTTAAAAATAAGCAAGAAAATATTGTGCAAGAAAATACTGATGAGGTATATATATTTATATATAGATTTGAATATTATATTTTTTTTTGAATATCTGTCATCTATTATGTGTACACATGATATTTATTTATTCTTTTTTTTATACGTAGCCCTCTGGATCAACGACCACAATGGCGAAAAGCAAAAATATTCGATGCCCGAAAAAGCCATTAGAGGGGCGATATATAATATCGGAATTCAATATCGAGACAGGCGAACCACTTGGTCCACATGCAAGGAAACTCGATTTTGAGGACCTGGTTCGGTTTTACAAGGATACTGGTTTGGACCTTGCCCAAGTGCTTATGGAAGGACCATCTGTTCCGAAAGTGGACGTGGCAGAACCGCCTAATCTAATGCCTTACAGGAGTGCTTGCCTTCCATTAGACACTAAGCACTCAAGGGAGAACGCTAAATTACTTGGTTCCATCGGGCACACCCCAGGGGAGAACCCGAAAATCCACATTTTTGCCATCAGGATCACAAATGAGAGAATAAAGCTTACATCATTCTTAACCATTTCTTACATCACTTTTAATACAACATCAGAGTATAATATTTATTATTATAATAGCGGAATGTACTCATATTATCAGAGTTATGAACAATTTAATTTAGTAGCGGAATATAAACATGTGATCAGAATTACAACGAAAATAAATATCTACTCATGACATGATAAGGTGTTGATATATGAACTACGACAACAGATTATGAAACTTTTATTTATAAAAGTATTTGGTGAGAGTTATAAATGACAACTACGATCGCAGCGTAAAGGAATCCTCGCTGAGCCCACCAGGAGGTATCCACACACAAGGGTCAGCTCTAGCATCCACCTGTCACCTGCAACAGGGGAAATAAAACCCTGAGTACTCAATTGTACTCAGCAAGACTTACCCGATAGGAGGAAAGAAAAGACTCCAAGGATATGCAAGGCTATCTAGCTTGTGAGTTTATTGCATTTGCAGGAAGCATTACTAAGCGTGCGTCCTTATATTCGATTTTTATTAATAGCCACATTGGTTCATTAACTAACCATTCTATGTAAGCACATGTGCTACTTTCAAGCAGGTGGTAAGCAATCAGACTTCCTTTTTCATTCTGTCTTTCATCTTTTAGTTCTTACTATGGTGCTAGGCACGAAACAAGTCGTACCGGATCGCCCAGTGATTCGCGAATCAATGCCCCCAGCTGGGTACCCCGAAAACACATGCCCCGCTTGTACCCAGGCACAAGCAGGACCAACCCATCATTCTCCTGTCCCGGGTGTCCAGGTCCCCGTCCAAACTGGGACTCCAAGCCCCCGCCCCTGAGTCCCGGACTCAGTGCGGTGCAAGGACCTCCTCCACCAAAATAAAACCTTGACAGTCGGTCCAGAAAGAGCCGGATCCACGACAAGAGAGCAACAAGTCTTCCAAGCGCCCATACCCAAGTATGTGCTCGAGATAATAAGTCTGTAACTTGCCTCGATGGCTGATACAATGATCGGTCCTTAATCGACCAGACAGGGAAAGCAGTGTAACCAAGCTATGCCCTGCGTCCTCGGTGACATAACCTCTTACACCCACCAATACCCAAACCATATCCATGCCCGGTCACCAGTTTACCTTTCCACTATTTATATTTTCCAAGTGATAATAATACAGTAATATATTTTCTATCTCTCACGAGTGACAGGCAATCACTCGACTTCTACCGGAGTCCTGTAGCATAGCAATCTACACGATCCATAGGATAAAGATATATATATATATATATATATATATATATATATATGCAAGTGGGTTTCATTCAACTCCTTAAAACTTAATGCACAAATATAATTACAAATATAATTTAAACTGTAGAAAGTAGGGGTTATGCACCGGGGCTTGCCTGGGTAAGATATATATTAAAAAGTTAGTATCTGCATCTTCAGATCATCCACCATCAATTGAATAGAAAACCCATTGCATCATCTCCTGGAGAGAATATCATTACACCATCTTCGAATTCTCAATCATCCTTCAATTGATCCTTTGATCCATTATCGTACCTATATGATATGCAATGCGATGCAGTGCAAAGACGTAATTAATCAATTGCAACCGTGATTCGTAAAATACGATTTACGCCTCTCCAGTTAACGGGCTAGTTCTAGCGACGACCGTACTTAGGCTACATATACACGTTGTTGGATAAGACGCTAGTTCCCAACAATTATTTTCGTTACATAAACCCAAGTTGTTTCTTTATTCCATTCTATCGATTTGATCATTATTCGCAATAGGACATCATTAACTACTCTAGTAAACTAATTATTCCGGAGCTACAAAAATTACAGTGAGTACCTAATATTGCTAGGAGCATACTGTATAAATTTTAGATTCAACAATATTACCAATTTATCATGAAAACTCCTACAAGTTTATATTTTACAATATTAAGTACCTTAAATTAATTATATAGCTTCCACGAATATTATTAAACTATGTGAACAAACTATACTAATAGGTAGATCATGATTTTAGGAGACTAACAAAACTGATTTCATCATTTTTAGACACCTACACAATTTTATATTGATTTTACAAGTTTACTGTATAAGCTAAATTATAAATTGCTCTACAATTCAAAAGGCCGGCGACACCCCTTTTAGCCCAGCTGCCAGGTCCGGCCCAAGTGTGCATCACCAGGCCAGCCCATAGAAGCACAGTGCGGCCAGGCGCATCGGCAACCATGCCGGCCCAGGCGGGGCACGGCGCGGACGGCCCAGGCGCGGCGCGTGGCCAGCGGCCCAGTGGCACGTGACCAGTGGCCCAGCGACCAAAAGTGGGGCAGCGGCCCAACCAGCCGGACCATAGACGCGCGCGTGACCCAGGCGCGGCCGACGCCAGGCCGGCCCAAGCGCGCGGGCACGGACGGCCCAGCAAATCGGCCCAGGCGGCCGATGGCGTGGCACATTTGCCAAGCGGTCCCTGAGCTTCTACTAAATCATCCCGCAGTACAATCAGTACTATTCCTATGGGTCACGTATTCACAGTAAGAACCCTATATAAATTTTTGGCTTGGATTCATACCCTTCATCCTTTTCCTCATCCTTGGAGCAGAGCACCGGTAGAGGAAATACGTCCGTCGGCCGATGGACGGCTCGTCGGTGGTGGTGCAATGGCGGGGCAACACGGGGAGGTGAGGCGGTGGCGTTGCACCACGGCCGCGGGTGGCACCCCACCCCTGCGCAACGCGTAGTAGCCGGCTGCGGCGCCGACGGAGGAGGAGCGGGCGAAACAACCGACGATGCATGGTCTTCGTAGGTGCTGCGGCAGTGACTCTGGCGTGGGGCAAGGGAACTCGCGCGTGCGGGAGAGAGCCGGCACCGGCGGACGTAGCCATGGCGGGGCACTGCGGCACGGCCGAGCGTGGGTGGCCAGACCAGGTCGCACGACTATGAGACGAAGCGGCAGTGGCAGCATGGCGTGGTTGTACGTGCATGCACATGCTTGCTTGCTGAGTGACTAACCGGGGTAGCCAGTGAGTTCAATGACGGTCAGGAACTGGTGTTGGCGCGGCGTGCGTCGGAGGCACACGGCAGCGGCAGTAGTGGTAAAGAATTGTGACGTACGAAGGATCGCGAGGTAACTACGCTGGTGAGTCGGGTGGCTGCCTGAGAACTGAGATGGGGAACGGAGGAGAACTTATTGTTGGTCATGGCGGCCCAGGGTTGCTGGTGGCAGCTCGGATAGAATGATTGGTGTACGGAGTATGCATGATTGTCGTATGGATAAAAGCTAAGGTCACTGCCCAACAATAGTTACAAAGAGTGGTGGAGGTCAGCTGGTGTGTGAGCGACACTGTACGTTCGGCTAAGAACTGAGGCCATTGCTCAACAATGATTAAGAGCTGGGTTGCTTTGATCTGTGGTAAAGACTCTGTGCTACTTGTCTGGTAGAAGGAAAAAGGAAGCTGAGACAAGAGGCAGACAGAGGCAGCAGAGTGATGCGACGACACAGGCAGTCGGACGGAGGCAGTGCATAAAACTGTTTTAGAGAAATTGGAACTTGAAGATATATATATATATATATTTTTTAGAAGGAGATGGTACATATATTTTGCTGTGACCTAGACGCGACACTCGCGTACTGCACGCAGTTCTGCAGATGTGCCTGTCGGTGCTTAGTGCAGTTGGCGCTAGATGTGCATGTCATATCATGCCTGGCGGGAAGGATAGAGCACATGGTGAAGTTGGTTTTTCCCCCTCATATATATATATATATATATATATATATACACACACATGTGAACAAACAAATGAACAGATCAAAACAGGTGCGTGCAGACATGAGACGATCGA